TTGTAAAATCTCCAAAACTCAACCAAATCGCTCAAATTTTTTTTAGAATGAAGCTAGCACTCTCAGCTGTCAAATGACATGGCAATAACATAGATGTGAATGACTAGTACTTCCGAAAATGAACTAGTGCCATCTGTTGCAAACATGTGTCATGACTTTTCCGGCAACCCAATAGTAAGTCCATGGCCAGGAAACCGAGGCCCAGAACTGGAAAGGGCTTTGCTCTCAGACTAAGCAAGTGTGCAGCACAGGCTGGACTCCAGCTTACGTAGGCCTGACTCCTAGTCCATGGAGTGAGAGGAAAATGCCCCCAAGGGGCTGGGAAGCTGGGATAACAGAGACATGGCCCCTCCGGCGTGGGGTACTGGGACTTTGTGCCTTGATGAACTGTAGAACACAGCCTGGAGTTACAGCTCTTTGCTTTGCTCCCTTATTGTGGCTTTTGTCATCTCTTTGAAGCCCCATAAAACTATAAAATGCTCAAGGCATTTATTAAAGAACACTTGGAGTTCCTTTTCCCCTTTTTATTTTTGATAACATATACATAACAAAATTTACCATTTTAACCATTTTTAAGTGTATAGGTCAATGGCATTCAGTACATTCACTTTGTTGTGCAACCATCACCATCATCCACCTCCAGAACTTTTTCATCTTCCAAACTGAATGGAGTTTCTTACTTTTAACTGTAAAGCTGAACCTTATGTATGATTCTTGAAAAAAGATTCCTCCCACATTAACTAAAAATTCCTGCCACATATAGGGGAAGGGGGCTTGACCCTCAGAAAAGTAGTAGAGGCCACCAACAAACCTTTGGGCCTATATTTGGCCCTGGCTTGAGCCCAAACACAAGCCTGTCTGGTGGCCCAGGGCAGCTCAGAGAAGTCAGGTTGGCCCAGGGGTTTTCCTGCCTCAGGGTCCAGCCCACATTTCACCCACTCCCAGGATGTCCAGGGTCAGGAGACAATACAGTTGGAGGACAGGACAGGCCTCCAAACGGGTCACCTTCTGGGCTAAGAGTATCTACTACAGGGGCAGGATAACACCAGGAAGCCTCTCCTTCCTGCTCAGAAAAGCCTAGTCCTTCCTGTATGTGGCCCCAAGCTAAGCACTCCTCTGTCCATGATCTCAGCCCGGCCTTGGAAGTGCCACTGGAGGCCAAGAGAGCAGGAGATGGAGGAAGTGGCAGAGCCAAGATTTTAACCCAGAGCATAGTGTTTCTCAATTTGGGCAGCATTGGCATTCTTAGTGAGATGAATGATTCATCATTGGGCAGACTGTCAATGTATTTCAGATGTTTGATAACCTGGCCCTGCTCACTGAATGCCAGGAGTGTCCCCAGTCATTGTCACAACCCAAAGCATCCCATGTCATAGCTTAGGAATCAGGAGGAGGACCAGGGTCAGTCTACCCCTCAGGCCTCAGATTCATCTGCAAAAGGCGGCAGGAATTCTTGTGATTAGTTTAGTTGCCTGGCACACACTTATTTAGCAGGGCTCAATAAATGTGCTTTCCTTTCTTCTGGAGGGGGATAGTTTGGGGCAGAGCTGCCCTTCTTGGCAGGGAAACGTGAAACCCTCAGTTCTTGAGACTCAGCTATGAGACAGGGCACTCGCCCATGCCTCAGCTGGGACCCTGAGCAAGTCATTCACTCTTATATAGTCTCTTGCCCCCACTCCAAGCTCTTGGAGCAATCTGCAGGCTCTAAAATTTGAAGCTTGCTGTTGAAAAGGTTGCAGACCTGAGGATACATTGTGAGGCCACAAGGGGGCAGCAGTGAGCCATGAATGGCCTTGTCTTGCCCAAAGGAGCAGGAAAGGGACCTCCTTGATATCTGGTGAAGGGGGAACATGTGGCTTCGACCCCCACAGAGGTCTGCCTGTCAATCATGGTATTGCCTAGCAGACTCTGCTCTGGCAAGCAATTTCGGAAAGACATCCTGGTTATGAATCCCTTGGCAGATGACTACTCCTTCAGAGCCTCAGTTTCCCCATATGTAAAATGGGAATAATGACAGCAACCACATAGGTCCCCTCCTTCCCAGGGCTTATCGGGGGATCTATGAGGTACCTGTATGAAGAGAGGAGCGAATTACAAACTGTAGAGTGCAGTAGACTTGTGAGGTTATGCTGGAATGCCAAAGGACACTTGGACAGCCAGTGATCTCTATCAGTCATCACGGCCCCACTGTGTTTCTCTTTTATTTCACACTACTGGCTTCCCTGGTGACTCAGAGCAGTGGACCTGCCACTTACCTCCAGCAACTTAGGGAGACAGGTGAGGACTCGACACATTCCTCTTCCTTAGCCAGTGAGTGGCTGGGGCTCTTCTGCTTTGCGAGAAGGCTGCATAGTGGGGTCTAGGGGGACTACCCAAACTACGGCCCTCCTTAGGCCTCATTTCTTGGAGGGAGAAGGCCTGGGACACCATCACTGCTGGCCCCTTCTTGTCTAGACCATCCTGTATGTCCTTGGTTTGGTCACCTGTGAAATGGGCATATTTGCTGGGTCCCTCTCTCAGGGTTGTCATAAGGACCAGTTGGGATGAAAAATATAGAAACGCTTTGCAAGACTGTGGCCCTTATTTGGTCTTGGAGTGGGGAGGAGGGAGAGAGAACTCAGAATCATGGGAGCTGCCAGGTGCCTGACCTGTGCTGGGTTCTTCTTGCATTTCATGCAGTTGGTCCTCACTAACTAGTAGGACTGTAAGCATCCCTGTCCCTTTCTACAGATGAAGTGGCAGGTTGAATTCTAAGATTGCTGCAGTAAGATCTACTACCCTATGTTTTCTCTTTAAAATATGATGTTGATACTTTTCCCTTGAATTGGGGTCAACTGCTGATTGTGGAAGGAAGTGACACCATATAACTTCTGAGGCTTAGCCATAAAAGGTGACACAGCTGCCATCTGGTATACCTGGGACATGGACCCTTGGAATCCAGCAGCCATGCTGTGAGGAGCCCAGACTCTATGTAGAGGCCCCGGGTAGGTGTTCTGGTCATCTGATTTCCCAGCTGACAGCCAGCATCAACCACCTAGCTGAGCCCATTAACCCCAGAATTGTAAGACAGAAATATAAAGGATCATTGTTTTAAGGCAACAAATTTTGGGATGATTTGCTGTGCAGCAGTCACTGGTCACTGCATCAGAGGAGCTCACAGGGGCTCAGTGATGTATGTGACTGGCCAGAGGGCTCAGCTTGTACGTGGGAGGGCTAGGCCTTGAGACTGTGTCTTCCTAACTCCAAATCCTATCTGCCCTGATCCTAAACTACTTCTTCCGGTTTCTGGGGTGGCTCTGACCTAGGATGAGTCCCCCTGTCCTTCCCCACTTTGCAACGGCCAGGCTGAAATCTTACCCCGAGGTGCCCCAGGGGCAGTCTGCAAGGACAGGTGCACCCAGACACAAATGGGTGGTTTATTACACACAGTGATATCCATCTACACAGAGAGGGGAGGCAAGTAGCTGGGCCAGAGCTGGTGGCTGGGGACCCTTGTCAGAGGTGGGGAAGCTTCTCAAGATGCAGAGCGCCGATGCCCAGGTTGCAGGTCCCCTTCTGGGGCCGGCTGGGACCCAGCCCGGAGGTTCTCTTCATCTACACAGTTCACCCGGAAGACCACTTTTGGCAAGCTGACCAGAGTTCTCCTGGGTAGGAGACTTGGGGTCAGTGAGACCCAAACTCTGAGCTGGAGGCCTGTCTCCTCAGGCTGGCAAAGTCCCATCACATCCCTGCTCTGGGTGGTGTCAAGATGGACAGGAGGCAGCAACCACTCCAGCCTGGGCCCTGCCGTCCTCCACATTCTGGGACTGCAGAGCTCCCTGCAGCTGGGTCCATGTGGTGGCGATCACAGTGCTTGGCCTCCACTCGTGGCCAGAGGACGTGTGTTCTCATACAGGCTGGCTTCCTGAGGCCTAATGAACTTGGTGAGAACTAGACTTGCTCAGGGTGCTTTCCACAGCCCCCAGTGCCCAGCTGCAAGGCCTGGGTGGCAGCCATGTCCTGCCCTGGAGAACCCAGGCTCCAGGGGGGCCTGAGAGTGTGGGCAGCTGGCTTTGGCTGAGTCCAGAGGCTAGAGAGGTCAGGAGCAGCTGCAGTGGTCGTCCAAGACTTGGGTGGGCCCTGGGGGCTCTGGAGCTGCAGGGGGCAGGCTCTTGTAGGGCAGCTAGGTAGTAGAGTTTCTTGGCTAATCAGGGAACTGAAGGCCCAACCTCCTGGAGTCTTGGCAGCCTCACCTGAGGCAGGTACCTTCACCTGTGTCTCCTTCCTGCAAGAGCCAAGTCCTGTGGATGCCCCTCAGGTACACAGTTTCCTGATCCGCCTGTCCATGGTCCTGCCAGCTTCACATGCTGATCTGATCATTCTGGGGCTGGACTGGGCACATACTCAAAGGTTAAAAGGTCACAGGCAGTGCATCCCGTGAAAAAAGATCAATATATTACTGTTTTGTTTTTACAACAATTAAAAATGTCCTCAAGGATCTGTACAGGTTGTGAGCTGGGTACTGGGGATCACTGGAAAAGGAGGGAAAGACTGAAGGTGAGGAGGGGCTGTGAGGCCCCTGGGGCTCCCCTCCCCATTGTGCCCATGTCCTAGGGAACAGGCACACCCTGTCCTCTAGTCCTAGGCTTCTGGCTCCACTCCCTCTCAGGTTTGGACAAAGTCCCAGGGGCCCTGATGGCTTTGCACTGGCTAGGCCAGGCACTGAGTGAGCCCTGTGCAACCAACAGGGTGGGCTCACACAATCACCAGGGCCATGGCCCCAAGCCTTAGGCCGCATAATGGGAGAGTCAAAATTCGCGCTGTGACAGGAAAGCCTGGCTATTCAGTCACTATGGGGAGCTGCAGACACACAGCCCCTAGGATCTCCTGTGTCCCCCCACTCCTCCCCACCTGTCCTGGATACTTCCCTAAGAGGTACCTTATGCCAGCATCCAGGCACGGGCAGCCCATCGGGGCCCTGAAAAAGAAGAAGCTTTCAGTGACGGGGAGGGGCTGGTCAACTTTCTACTCCCCCACATTCCTGCCCCAGGTGTAGGGAGGTACAGCCCTGGGAGCTGTCATTGAGGCTACTGGACCCCATGGAAGCAGGACCCAAATGCCTCCCTGTTCACCCAAGCAGCCGGGCATGGGCCACCAGCCGTTCCTCACTGTACTTGTCCGGGGTGTGCCCCGACAGGACTTTGTTGGGACACCTGTGCAGTGGGCAGAACCAGGAGGACACTGGAGTGTTGGGCTCGTGCTGGTTAGGAGGAAGGCCCGGCCTGGTTCTGGGTTGCATGGCTTCCTGCCTGGTGGCTCTGACAGTGACTCCGGAACCTCCCCCTGGGGGCCTGAAAGGTTTCGGGAACTGGAGAAGAGTGTATGGACAGTTCAGGAAATGGGGTCCCCCTGAGGCCCATCCCGGTCCCTGCGTCTGGATCTGAGCTGCAGACAGGGAGGCGGAGGCCAGCAGGGTAGAATATGGGGGGGAGGGTGGTTATCTGGAAGCATCAACCATGCCTGCTTAGAAATCAGACACAAGGAGGGGCAGCTACCTCAGGCAGCCTCGAGCGTTGGGGACTGCAGAGGGACAAAAGCTGACCCCCCAGCCTAGATTCCCTGGGGGACCCTGGGGCAAAAACATTTCATTCTGTTCCAAGGCCCATGCACGGGCCTCAGACCTGCAGGAGCACCCCCGGAACAAGGCCCAGTATCCAGCGGGGCACAGGCTGGGGCCCCAAAGGTGGTGGGGAGGAGGCAGGCAGGAGCGGGAAGAGTGGGGCAGATGCCAGCACAGCACAGCACACAGCACGCCAGGCTGCCTACCACAGGGCAGGGCCCGAGGCCTCTCGCCAGGCCCCTCGAGCCCAGCGCCCCTCGCTTGCCTCCGCATTTAGGATTCCCCTGTTTCAAAGACAAAGGCTTCATGATTTAGAGGGCAGTCTTTGCCCAGGGGCTGGATCTGGAGGGTCACCCTGTCCCTTGCTGTCCCTGGCACTTTTAGTGTATGCTCACTGCTCACCACTTTTCCTCATTGCCTTCTCAAAATCTTCTGGAGGTGGAGAACAGTACCTCCATTGTATGGATGAGGAGAGTGAGGAACAGAGGGCTGAGTGACTCACTCGGGGCCTCTGGGAGTCCCTGGCCCTTACCCCTCTTTGGAAGGTGGCCACACACATGACTGGAGGTCCCTCTCCCCATGTCCCTGGCAGGGGTGGCCAGGTTTGAGTATCTGGTCACGTTTGGTAAGGAAACTCAGCGGTTCTGTTTCCTTGTCTTTTCTGAGCTCCACTGGAAGAGTTTGACATGAAACCTTCCCTGCCTTCTAGAAAAAGGGAGCTGAATTTTGGTTATTTCAGGCACTGGGTTGGGTGGGCCATAGGGGCTGTGGTGACAGAGCAGGAAAGGAGAAGGCTCTGGGGATCAGGGGAGGGAGGGTATGGAGGACAGGCTGGGAGACAATGTGGGGCCACCCAGACCAGAAAAAGCCTCCTCTGGGACAGGATAATACCCAGAGAGGGACGGGCCAACGAAGCTGAGTAAAGAGGGGTGTGATCCCAAAAAACAGATTCTACCCTGGTTGGGCTTCCCTCTGTATAGATGGGGCAGGTCCCCCAACCTGCACCCATTGGGGGGTGAGGACCAGAGCAAGAGGACCCTCCATCACGGGAGTGACAGCAATGGTGGCCCTGGCAGGGTAGGCACCCCAGGGCAGGGCCACGGTGACCTCTGGGACTTGCACATGAGCTCTGAGGACAGGGAAGATGCTGGCAGGAGGTGGCAAAGACCTGGGGTGGGGCACCCTTCCTGCTCTGACACTTACCACAGGACACGGCTGGTCCAGGCCTGGCGGTCCCGGCTCGCCTTTCTGGCCCTTCACTCCTTTCCGGCCGGGGATACCTCGCTCCCCCTGCACAAGAAGGGAGACTGGGGGTGTGGCTATGGCTGCCACGCCCAGGACGCCTCCTGCACCTCTGAGAGATGGGCCTGGGGCCGGCCGCCACCCTGCCATGCTACTCCCACCTCAGCCTCTGCCTGCCCACCGCACCTCTCTGCCTGCTTCTTCCTCCCACGTCCTTTCTGCCTCTTCCCTCCTCCTCTTCACCTGCCTCCCTCCTTCTTTCCCCTTGCCCCATGTCCTCTCCAGCAGCCTACACTTTCTCTCTGCCTTCCCCACCTTCTCTCCACGCTCACTCCGGTCGCCTTTCTCTCCTCGGGGTCCGGGGAAACCCTGACGAAAGAATTAAAGGTTAAACTGAAAATGAGGTTTGAGGTTTGCTCCTGTTATCTCTGCCCCCTCCCTCCACAGTCGTGGTACAAGCTGGCCCAGTTCCAACTCCTAGGTGACTCATAAGCTGGGTACAAGGCTGATTTAGGGAATAGCATGCACTAAGGACAATGTCAGAGTCTGTGGACAGAAGCCCCCAGGCAGACCCACTGGCAAGGGGTCTTTCCTCATGTCACAGTCAGATGCAGCTGGCACTGGCCCATGCTTGGCTGGGGACAGAGGCCTAGGAAACCCATGGGAGCTTATGTCATCATCTTTGGGAGACCAAGAAACGGTGACCTCTGTTTTCTGTCCTTGGCTCAAACTCTTGTACGTCCATCCACCCACCCATCCATTTGTCCATCAATCCAACCAACATCTCTAAACATCCACTACAAACTGGGCTGTGGGCAGGATACTGGGGACAGAGAAACAGATGTGTTCCCTCTTGTATTTATTATGTTGTTTATTTTCTATATTTTCTGATTTTTTTAAAAGATTTTTTATTGGGGAATTGGGGGGATGGGAACAGTGCTGGGGAATTGGGGGAAGGGGAACAGACAAGTTGCTGTCGTTTTGTTCTTCAGCAGTCTAGTTGTGGAGGATGTTGCTTCACTGGCCCAAGTTGGCACCATCATTGCTCTCTTCCCGGGCGAGGCAGATCAATCACCGGCTTCTGGACGGACGCTCACTGCAGCTGCTGGCCGCTCACGCTGGCTGCTGGCTGCTGGCTACATACATGGCAACCCACTGCCACAGGGGCTGCAGCCTACGCCGTCGCCTGCGACTCATGGCAGCCCAGCTCCAGGTTGAGCTGTTGTTCAGCATCTTAGCTGTGGAGGGCAGTGTCACTGGCCCTCATATGTGGGATCTGAACGGGGGCCCTCTGGCATCCCAAGCCAGTGCTTAACCGTCGCGCCACTCGGCCGGCCCTATTTTCTGATTTTTTTTTTCAGCTGAGCCATCCTGCTACCTGTTGGCAGCTCAGCGGCTGCTCAGCTCGGGCTGGACTCGAACCGCTGTTGCTCAGAGCTCAAACTCTTGAGTGAGCTCTTAACCAACTGAGCCACTCGGCCGACCCTCTGATGTTTTGACATCTTAAAAATCTTGCTGACTGGGGAGAGGCTGTCCCACCCAAGACTAGCCAGTTCTTAGAGATGGCCAAGGGCTAGGCTGGGAGCATGTCTTTCAGACACAAACCAGCCAATCCCGCTGCCACCTGCTTTATCTCTCACACAACAGAACAATATTTCTCCTGCCGAATCATCCCAGAGCCTGGCAGCAGGCAACTAGAGAGCACCCCTATGGCTGAAGCCTGCTGGAATTACTCAGACTGGCCAGTCCTAAACTGTCTCCCCTGCCTTGCCTTGCCGTTCCCATGGAAACCCCAATGAAAACTCCAGCCTAGGCTTTCTCTCCTTTCTGCCTCCTGACCAAACTCGATGCTTCCCCATGTGGCCTGCATGGCCTGGCATGCCATTCTCTTGGGAAATGTAAGTAATAAATTCTTCTTTCAATGGCATTGGCTTCTCTGTGGCATCACTCAGTCACCTCCATAAGTTAAAACCCAATAGGTACACGGGCCGGGAGAGTGGCACGTTGGTTAAGAACTGGCTTGGGACGCCAGAGGGCCCCGGTTCGGATCCCACATATGAGGGCCAGTGACACTGCCCTCCACAGGTAAGATGCTGAACAACAGCTCAACCTGGAGCTGGGCTGCTGTGAGTCACCGGTGACGGCGTAGGCTACAGCCCCTGCTGCAGTGGGTTGCCATGGGCTACCATGTGTAGCCAGCAGCCAGTGTGAGCAGTGAGCGTCTGTCCAGAAGCCGGTGACTGATCTGCCTCGCCCAGGAAGAGTGCAATGATGATGCCAACTTGGGTCAGTGAAGCAACGTCCTCCACAACTAGACTGAAGAAAAAAATGACAGCAACTTGTCTGTTCCCCTTTCCCCAATTCCCCAGCACTGTTCCCATCCCCTCAATCCCCAATTAAAAAAAAAAATCTTAAAACAAACAAACAAGCAAAAAAAACAACAACAAAAAAACCCCCATAGGTACAAATGTGACACTTCCCTCACAGTCTAACATGTCAGGAAATGGGGTGCAGAGGATGACCAATGCTTAGTGACAGAGGAGTGAGCCAGATGACAAGGAGGGGAGCTGTTCTGTCCAAGTATGAGGTCAGGGAGGGCTTCCAAGCAGACTCCCCATTTCAGCTGGGCCTGGTAGAGGGGGTGCCAGGATTTTGCCAGGTAGAACAGGTGGGTGTGGCTTTGAGATGACACTCTGAGCTCCAGGCATCCCGGAAGGCAGCTGTGGACACATTACTGGTGGCATGGAGTCTAGCTCTCCCCCGACTACCTCCCTGAGTCCACATGTTGTCTTCTCCTGACCCTTCTCATTGATGGAACATGACTTTCCTAGTCAGAAACTCAGGTTAGAGTTCTTCTTCCTTCTTGTCTATAGTTGCTCTTCAAGGTGACATTTTCTCCTTAAAGTCTAGGGTGGACATCAGAAGCCCTGCAGCCCTGTATCTGGTCACTGTTTTCCTTGGAAGAGCTCCCTGGTTTTCCTGGGAACCCCCGTCCCTTCTCACAATCCACCAACTCCACCGCTGCTCCAGGATGGAGCATGTGATCAGGCCTGGCCAATCGGGGCACTGCATTCCTATGGCCAAGTGATACTTCAGCATTGGCCCAACTGGGGCCAATGAGAGTTGATGAGAATTTTTTCTAAAAGAGTAGAGAGTGAGATAAATAGTCCCTGTCTAGATTTGGACCTGGGAAGATTACAGGTCTGGGGCTGTTGACTCCATCTTATCACCATGTGGAATTGGGACTGATGCCCACACAGAGGAATCAGATGCAAGAGAGGGTCAGATGTTGGGTTGTGTTGACACACTTTAGTCCTGGATCCATGTGCTGTACCTCTGGATTTTTCAGTTACAAATCAGTTTAAACCAGTTTAAATTGTTTTCTGTCTCTTGGAACCAACAGACACTTGATCCAATAAGCACTGGGCTAATACTTCCCCTCTTCGTCTTCCCACAATACCGCCCTAGCTGAAGCCTCATTGTTTCTCACCAGGATATTGCAACAGGCTCCTCACTGGTCTTCCCACCTCCCTGCTCCAATGTATCATCCATCAACCAGCTATTCATCTGTCATTCATCCATCCATCATCCATCATCCATGCATCCATCCATCAATAAGTCATTCATCATCCTTCTAGCATCCATCCATCCACCCACCCACCCACCCATAAAGCACCACCAATTCTGGGATGTGCATTGGATTTAGGGGGAACCAGGCAGTTGTAGACCCAGCCTTGGGTCACACCCAAGACAACCAGATCAGGTTACTATACATTCAGCATGCGGGCAGAAATTATACACAGGAGGGGCCTGATCACAGTGAATGGTGAGATACTTACATCTAATCCTGGCTCCCCAGGTCTGCCCTGAGGAGAGACAAAGAGGAGATATGAGGGGGCTGGGAAGGGGGTGCTGGGAGCACAGCTGCTGAGAAGTTCAGCCCTGTGAGTTGTCCACAAGCCTGAACTCTGACCCCAGGACCAGTGAAGGGCAGGGGGCGTCTCCAGGGCTGAGTGACACCATGGATGTGCAGTCATAGTTGGGGGTGGGGGGCACACTAAAGGAAGGTGGTTACCTTCTCTCCTTTGGTTCCTGGCAGCCCAATAAGGCCCAGCGGGCCAGCTGGCCCCTGGATGGAAAAGCAATGGGTTAAGAGGCATGACAGTTACAGGAACTAGCACATCTAAGGACAAACAAGGCTCATGACACTTACAGGCAGGCCACTGGGGCCTCTCTCCCCTAACTCGCCTTTCTCTCCCTTTGCTCCATCCAAGCCCTGGAAGCAAAGAGGGGACATCAGTCAGGGGGAAAGGGTCAGACTGATGGAAGGACAGAAAATCTTGGGGCCTGTGGGGATCCGGGGTATGCAGGACAAAGGGACAGACTCCAGGCTCTGACAGGCCTGGCCCTGGCTTCCTTCCTGTGCAAATAATCAGAATGAGCAGCAGGTGTAAGCATTTTACCTCTTTCCACACATGAGTTCCCTCAGTAATCATAGAAGGTGGTTGTGGTCAAACCCATTTCACAGATGAGGAAAGAGAGGCACAGAGAGGGGCAGGGACGGGCCCAGACACACAGCCAGCAAGGGCTGACTACTGACCGGGTTTCTGAGCCCCAGCCTTGGACTCTATCCCTGACAGCATCTGCCTCTTCTAAACATGATCTGGGGAGGCCCTGGGACAAAGCAAAACCAGAAGCAGCACATCTGGGCGGCCACATGCTCGGTCCACTGAGCTCTGGAGTCCATGACTCTGAGCCCTTCAGTTGGCCTCTGAGCTGGAGAAGCAGAGATGTGCGTTCCCTCAGGGCAGGGCAAGCAGTGAGGCCAGTTGGCCTCTCCATGGCTCCCAGGGCAGGGAACACTGGCGGGCCACACTCACGGTTTTAATTTAAGAGGAGAGGACATAACATTATGTAATATACACCAAACCCGGCTTCATGTCCAGGCTGCAGGCTGTTGAGAGACAGATGTGCATAATGGGGAGCATGGCGAGAGGGGGCAAGGAAGGGGGAGGCACAAAGAAAGGGGAGGTGAGTGGTGAGGAGGGAAAAGCAGTGTACTGGGGCCCCAGGCGAGGGAGAAGGGGAAAGAACAGAGACCCACTTGTGGGTATAGGGGACACCAGCTCCAGGGGACTTGGAATGCTCAGGCCCTGGGAAGACACAGGGCTGGTCTGAGGCTAAGCATGGGCTTCACTTTGCCTGTTAGCAAGGCTTTCTGGAACTGTTCAGTCTGAGTCTGCAGTAAGTAGGGGGATTTCCACCCATGCCCCAAAACTCACCTTGGGACCTTGGATTCCCTGAAGGCCCTGGAAAAGGAGGACAGAGCAGATCAGGGCCAGTGTCCTCTTGTAGTGGCCACAAGACTCGCAGGCCACTCCGGGCCCCTGTGGCCCTGATCTTTGGGACCTCCCAAGCCAGACCTTGGCTCTGCCCTCCTTATCTGACATGTCCCTTCCCCCTGGGGAATCCTGTCCTCCCCTGGTCACAGCTCCTGGGCCTGGGCCCACCACCCTTTTCATATCCCAACTGCTTCAAGCCAAATGTTCTTACCATGGGGCCTGGGGGACCAGGAGGGCCGGGGGGCCCTGGCTCCACTATGATCTGGGCCTAAGAAGGGGTCAGACGTGGATTAGTCATGCGCTGCTCCGTTATCCCTCACCCACCCACACTTGAGCTTGTGGGACTTTGGAGGAGCACTCCCTGGGTGAGGGGCCCTGAGCCACTGCTTCCTCCCAGGAGGGTACTGCCTGGTGGGGGGCCCAGCGGCTGGCCTGTGAATCAGGTAGAAGACTCAGCCTTAGGCTCCCACTCCCTGCCTCCACCCTTCAGCCCCCAAAGTGGTCCTGCTGCCCCTTTGGCTGGGCACTGGGGGGAGACCCTGGTCCCCAGCTGTTCCCCCTTACCAGGCTTTCCTGTAGGTTGTCAGATGCCGGCTCTCCCTTCTCCCCCTTGGGGCCGTGGGCACCCTGCAGGACAGAATGGCCTGAGTCCTTTATGTCCATCACCAAAATCATTACTCACAGCCGTCAGCACTTTCCCTTCCCTCCCCACTAAGGCTCAGGGCAGCAGCCACTTGCCAGGTTGGCCCGTGCAGCCTAAAGCAGCGGTATGTAGAGGGCACAGTGACAGAGGTCCGCATTTTAGTTTTCCTGTGGGACAGCGGGGCAACCAAGGGCTCTGGAAGCAAAGACCCAGGTGTGTCCCCAGCACTACCTCTCTAGCTCAGTGAGCCTCATGGATGGACATTGGATGTGAAGTGGTGGCACCTGGTGGCAGCTCTTCCAAGCCACAAGAGCGACGATCAAAATGACAACGGTGGCTACAGTGGGTATTTATTGCATGCCAGCCACTCTTCTCAGCCCTGTCTGTGCGTGCCCTCATGGGAGTGGGAAATTATCATCCTCCCTGCTCCCCGTTTCGGAGGTGGGGAAACCGAGGCCCAAGGAGGGGTTAGTCGCTTGTGCAGCGTTCTAGTCAGTAAGAGGCACAGTAGGATGCAGACTTGAGCAGCCAGAACAGCAGTCTAACCATCTGCCAATTCGCTTCCACTGGGCAGAGCCTTCTTAATCCACCATCACTGAGGCCTCGGGAGGTAGGCGGTGGGTCCTTCTAAGGTGAGGAAATAGGGGCTCAGAGAGTCCGAGCAGTGAGGGCTGGGAGCCAGAGCTTCCCTTTAAAGGCCCCATGGCTCTTGGCAGAGCTAAGACTGCAGGATCCCAGCCGCCAGCAGGCACACACTCACCTTGGGACCCCACATGGGGCGAGTGGGGTCAGCCTACCCAACCACTTACCGGGAGGCCAGACAGGCCCATCTTGCCTGCTTCCCCCTTGGGTCCAGTTGCCCCAGCCTCTCCTGGGTCTCCTTTTTGTCCTTTGGGACCCTGAAAGCCACAAGTACAAGGGGTCAGTGGGGATCAACAGGCATTCTCCATTCCCCAATTCTGACAGGTCCCCAGAGCCAGACCAGACCTCCACTTCCTCCTCGTGGGTCCCCGCCTCCAGCCCAGGTGGCAGATGCACTCAGGGGCCTGGATAGAGCCAGGGAGGGGGCACCCCCATACCTGTGTCACTGTGCAAAAGGATGCAGGGTGGAGGCAGAAGGAGTGGAGCAAGTGGGGCTGGGCAGCCAGGAGGGGGAACTTATTGGGTTCAGGGTCAACCTCGCTCACCTCTCAGGAGCAACCAACCATCCATTTACCTAGTCACCTTCTAGCCACTGCATCCCCTCACTCAACCAATTATGCAACACCCTCAATGTGTCGCACACTAGGGCCCCAGTGCTAAAGACACTCCCCTGAATGTCAAGTGACACCCGTGGACACTGGTGTCTGTAGGATCACACACACATGTATACTTACAACAATACTAATGATGACAGCGATATTGTTAGCTAGTGTTTGAAAGCTCTTTACTACGTGGCGTTGGGCACTGCTCTAAGTGTCTTCCATACACAGAATTATTTAACCCTGACAACAGCCTGCCACCACCCTCACCTGCGGCTGGGAGCAGAGGCTGCAGAAAAAGAATAGCTTGCCCGAGGCCAAGGGCAGAACCAGAATTTATACACAGGTGGCACACTCCGTTCTGTGGTCTCTCCAACTCTGTACACACACAGACACAACACAGACACACACAGACACACACACACACACAGACAAACAAACACACAGTCACACAGATAGTATACACACACACACAGACACAGATACAGACACACACAGATACAACACAGACACACATACACAGACACAGACACAGACACCCACACAGACAACACAGACACACAAACACAGACACACACACAAACACACACAGACAGACACAGACAGACACAAACACAGACACACCCACACACACCCACAACACCTGGCACCAACATCACCAAGGAAAGAAAAGCTCAGAGACCTTCTCTCCGTCAATTCCGGGGGCACCAGGCAATCCGAGCTCGCCCTGGAAGGGAATAGACATCAGAGGGGTTGGGGTGTCCTGTGGTCTCTAAGAGGGATCTGTGGCTGGGCTGCCTCTTCCAACCAGCACACAATTCCTGGTCAAGTTCCTGTAGTTAGACTTCCAGGAAGGGGCCCATTGGGTGCCCAGCATGGTGCCAGGTGCTGGCTACCCGCTCTCCTTCATGTTCTCAGCCCCTATGGGCAGATGCAGCCTAGAGCTGTAATTTATAGGCTGGTAGGTTATAGATTTGGAAGCTAAGGCTCAGAGGGTTAAATGATTTGCTCCAGGCCACATAGACCAGGGATGATAGTGGGACCAGACCCTGCCTGATTCCAGTCTTGGGCTCTTTTTCTTGAGCCAGTGGGCGGGATATAACAATGTGTACAGGCTGTAGGAATGGCCGTGTCATCTAAGGGATTTTGCTATGTCACGAGGGGCTGATTGATGGGTTTCCATGTATGAATGAGGCTTCCCAGGGCGTAGCATAGCTAGGGCCGGGAAGAAGGCACCCCGCTCGGTTAGGAAGTAACAGACCCCTTTTTCTGAGCCCCAAGAAGCCAGACTGGGACAGTGGGAGAGAAGCAGAGGGGGCACGGTAGACAGGAGATGGGAGGCGGGCCAAGGATACAAGGAGCTTGGGGGCCCACACAGCTGCATGGCACTGACCTTGGCTCCGGGGATCCCTGGTGGCCCTGGTGGCCCAGGAGGACCCTGTGTGTGAAAGTCAAGTCAGTCAGTGTTTAGACAGGGCCCCCTCCCTCCCACTGCCAGGCTACCCTTTTCGTCCAGGGGTCGCGTCCCTGCCTAGACAGCCTGCAGCAGGGTCAAGGGCCCTTATACAGCTCGCTTCCCACCCAGCCAGGTCAGGCCCCTTGTCTTGAAGGAGTCCAGAGAGGTGGCACCAAGAGTCAGATAAGATATCACAGTGTCCACTGCTACAGAGGGCCCCAAATCCCTCTGCCCTCAGAGCTAGTCTCCCCCAAATCTGGATTTCTTCACAATATTCCCCTGCTCAAGATCCTGCAATGGCTCCCTATTGCCTCTTGAAGCTGGCATTCAAGGCCTGCCCAAAATTGTATCCCAGCAGTGGCCAAGGCATTGCTCTCTCTGCCTGTCCTATGAGCTCTCTGCTCATCAGCTCTGTTGCCTGCTATCTGCTACGCCCGGGGGAGTTCCTGGGTCTCGTGGGTAGGAGGTGGCATCTTTAGTCTCTAGGTCTGACCCCACTCCCAAGCTGCTGTCCTGACCTCGGCTTCCCAGTCCGCCTGCCCACCATGGCTTGTCATCACCCCCATACTCATATCCCCTCCCAAAGGCCGCACCTTGCTCAGGCCTTCAGCCCAATAAGCTCCAGTCCTCACCCCGCACCCCTCCATCTCCTCTCACCAACCTGCCCCCTTCTTGTTGGTGCTTCCATGAGATGTCCCTGGTCTTACTATCTTCCTCCATTCTACTTGTTATCCTCTAGGCCCATGCCGAGCACCTACCTTCTTGGTAGCCTTCCTGCCTCCAGCTGTCCCCACACCACTTTTGTTCACCTTCCACACCATTCCCCAGCTAGCCTTCCCCAATATGTGTTTTTCTTTTTAAGATTTTATTGGGGAATTGGGGAAGGGGAACAGTGTTGGGGAGAATTGGGGAAGGGGAACAGCCAAGTTGTTGTCCTTTAATCTTAGTTGTGGAGGGCGTGGCTAGCTCAGCTCCAAGTCCAGTCGCCATCCAGCCGCCCATCAGCAGCGCGTGGCCGCTTAGCTCAAGGTGCCGTGTTCAATGTTAGTTGCGGGTGGGCATAGCTCACCATCTCATGCGGGAGTTGAACCAGAAACCTTGTTGCTAAGAGCACACGCTGTAACCACTGAACCATCCGGCTGCCTGTCGGCAGCTCAGGGCATCTCAGCTCAAGGTGCCATGTTCAATCTTAGTTGCGGGTGGGCATAGCCCATCATCCCATGTGTGAGTCGTACCGGCAACCTTGTTGTTAGGAGCACGTGCTCTCACCAGCTGAGCCGTCCTGCTACCTGTTGGCAGCTCAGTGGCAGCTCAGCTCGAGCGCAGCTCACTGGCCCATGTGGGAATCAAACTGGCGACCCTGTTGCTCAGAGTTTGTGCTCTTAACCACTGAGCCACTCGGCCGGCCCCCTTCAATATGTGTTTTAATGTCACCCCTCTGCTCAAGAACCGGCTATGGCTGCCTGCTGCCCATCCAATGGAGTCGTTATCCCAGTTTGGCACTCAAAATGTACTTCCTGCCTCTCTGCACTCATAGAGCTTCTCCCATGCAGCAGCTTCCAGCTGGCCTGGGACACACCATGCACTTGCACGGACCACGTCACACCACACCACACCATGCAGGCCTGGGTGGGCCACAGTTACCATTAGCTTGTACTTCCCTGAGGCCTGTGGGAAATAATTGGAATTGAAGCTCAGGGGAGATCAGGTGTTGAGGCCCAGTCTGGTCTCTGATGACTGCATCTCCCCCACCCCAGCTCCCTTCTTTGGCACCCAACCGCTCTCTCCAATGGTGATGGGCCCCAAGTTTGCCAGGCACCGGGCAGGGCTCAGGGGTTACACACCTCCTGAGGAACTGGGGCGGGCCTTGCCACTCTCATCCTCCCCCAGTGGTCACTAGAAGACCTAGCCTTCCAGCCTGCATCCTCTGGAAAGGCCCCAGGAGGCCCTGCTGGGAGGGGGCACCAGGAAATGCTCTGCCTTCTACCCCTGAGTGGGAGCTCCCCTGTTTGCTTTGGCCTCTGGGAAGCTCGGGGCCACAGGGAGCCACATACACAGCAGCTCTCTCAGCATCATGTTTGGTCTCAACACAGCACCTGGTGGAATTGGGTTCTTTGTGCTAAGCTGCCCCTGGTCCCTTGTGTAAAGAAGTGTGGGATTAATACACAAAGTAAGTGGTTATTCCCTCAGAAAATACACAGCAAGGGCGCAGGAATGTTACCTTAAGGGCATCCAAGATCCTGCCATCGTAGTCAATCACCACTGTGTCTCCTTGTTCACCCTTGAGGCCCGGGGGACCCTGAGGTAGGAAGAAGGGCAAGTCTTCAGGGACGAACTATGTTGGCGGGTGAGGTGGTAAACGTCTCTGCATCTCACCTGGAGAACCTACTGACGGAGCCGCACGCAGGTCTGAGCGCTAGCTCAGCTGTAACCCAGCGGGACCCCAGCACACCTGGTCCTCACGTCTGGTCCCCTGGCTCACTCAGCACTGGTACCCAAGCTCACTGACAAACACTGCAGGGGCCAGGCAGGGGGCCCACGTAGGGAAGAGGGCCCTGGGCCCGCTGAGGAACAAGCCCCACCTGGTCTGATGGTGGCAGTGATTGGCTGTCATGTGGGAACTGAGGCCCAGTGAGGTCCCATGCCGGAATTCTCGAGAGAACGTGGAAAGCCTAATTTTGATATGACATTCTTCAGACTTTTAAATGTTGGCAAACACACACAAACACAAACAAAGTCACCCAAAACCCTCTAAGACATTGTGTAGGACTGTGCCTCAATTTCCCAACCTCTGGTGGAGGCTGCACTCACCATGCTGAGATGCCCACTCGTCCCTGGTAAGAGCACCTCCCGCACTCAAGCATGCGGCCGCTTTAAGTGTGTCCACACATGCACCCGTCTACACAGGCATGTGCACTACTACCGGCCCTGCCCCTACCCTCTGAACCTCACCTCCCCACCTGGGCACCTCTCTGCGGGAGAATAGTGAGGGGCCTGGAGCACTTTGGTTCAGGCCTGTGGCCAACCCCTTGCCCGTGGCGGAGAGACCCAAGCTGGGGCCTCCTTGCTGGCTGCCTCCATGGTCCTGGCTGCACGGAACTGTACAGTTTATACTGAATTCCTACACTCAGCACTTAATCCAATCCCTGGCCACCTGCAACCCAGGCTGCGGCTGAGAACTGGTTTTTGGAGGAAACCTTCGGGGTTGTTCGAGGCCACAGAGCAGAGAACAGGGTCAGCCCAAAGGTGTGTTGATACGGGCTGGTCACAGAAGATCTGGGACCTTGGGACCAGCTGGGATGGCTGTGCTCCCAGCAACAGGGACAAGTCTCAACACAGGGCTGGAGGCAAGGGCAGAAGCCCCCAACAGGGTAGCATAACACCATATGTGACAAATAGAGGGTCTATGTTTGAATATGCCAAGAAAAGTCTTGGAGGGCAGACACTGAACTGGGAGAAGAGAGGGAAGAGGTGGGACTCTTAGTAGTACATATCCATCTTTGAACATTTTACCAAAAGCATGTATTATGAGATTAAAAATGAAATAAACACCAATGAATTATAAAAAAAAAAGACTCCCAGTGCCTGGAGCCCTACTGCTCCTCTGGGGTCTCTGGGGGACAGGGTCTTCTGAAGGAACCACCCCTGGATCCCAGTGGGGTGGCCGGAGGGGACACTGCTTACCCGTGGCCCTGTTGCTCCGTCGGCACCTCGCTGGCCGGGCTCCCCCTGTGGAGACGGCATGGTTGCAACCAGGTGTGCTAAGTTGAGCCAAAGGTACCCCCACCCTCTCTAGTCCCTCTTCCCCAAAGGGTGCAGGGCCTCATGTACGTGACTGGCACCCCAGTAAAAGGGCTCTTGGAGGGACCCTCCTCTGATTCCACGTTGAGTAGAGATGGGCTACCGAGGCCCAGGAGCCCAAGGTTACATGGTGACTTAGCCTCACCACTCACCTAGACCCACTGCCACCCACCCCCAGGCCAGCCTAAGATTGCCAGTCGAAGGAGATTTGAGGGTCCAGGCCCTCCAGGGACTCCCAATTTAAAAGGGCAAATTGGAGAAGAAACCACATGGCTGTTCTGAATGGGCCCGTGGAAGCTGAGCAGGGTGCTGTAAAGTCACCTTTGGCCCGGGGCCACCATCCAGGCCGGTCTCTCCCCGAGGCCCCATGCTCCCTGGCTCACCCTGCAAACAGAGATATTTACTGTGAGAGAAGCAGTGGGGCAAATTAGAGGCTGTCCAGGTCTGTTGGCTTCTAGACTAGTTCCAGGGGAAGGTGGCTGAGCCCACCCACAGAGGATGGCCTTCAGGTCTCTCCCCAGCCCAGGGGACTTAGGACCACAACCACCTTCCAGGATGGGTCTTGGTGCATAGTTGGGGCAGCTCAGGAACTCCAGAGATGTTTTGGAGACAGGCTGACCAGGATTTGGTGGCTGTCACGAAGGGTTGAGGGAGGCAGGATGACATCCAGTTCATGGCTTGGGGATAGGGCAGAGTAGGACCACATAAGATGGTAACCAGAGGACTTGAGAGTATGAGGGGAGTCAAATGGCCTGGGTAAGATGCCAGACCTGTTGATGAGTGGGACACAGGGCTTTTCTGCTGCCTTGTTCTGGCCTGTCCTGGGCGTTGTTAGCCCATACCTCTGTGATGCGAAAGCGCCAGGAGGGGCTTACCAGGCTGATAGAACCTCAGAAGGTGGGAGGCAGGGGGGCTTCCAGGAAAGCACAGGTACCTACCTTGGGCCCTGGGGGTCCAGGAAACCCTGGCTGGCTTGGCGTTCCATCATCCCCCTGTGGAGAGAGCAGGGGAGGCTGCAGTCCTCAGACGTGGACGCACTGGCTGGGCCCGCAGGTGGTCAGTTGGCCACCTCCCTCTGCAATCCCCAGCACACCTGTGCAGTCCTGGTACCGGTGCTGGGCGGCTCCCCCCTCTCCTCCTTCCCCTGTGTCCCCTGCTCCCGCAGCCCAGGGCCAGCCCAGCAGGTGTGTGCAGAAGGAATGGATGGGCAGATGGAAAGGGAATTCATTCTTCAGCCAACAATTATGCCTGTGGGTCAGGCAGAACAGGCTCCTGTCAGTGGGTCAGAGGAGGCCAAGGGCAAAGGAATATCTAGATAAATGCACAGCACCCTGCCGGAAAGTACAAGTGCCAAGGTGAGAAGAACATAAGAGGAGGGTGGGATGGAGAGGGACTTGGGGAAGGTGTGCTTTAGTAGGTGATTGGGGACAGTCTCAGAGAGGAGGAGACAGCTTTGCTCAGACCTGCAGGAGGAGGAGGAGGAGGAGGAGGAGGCTGGGCCATGGGAAGAGGTGGGGGAAGATCACTCTGGGTCAGTGGTTCCCAGGTGTGAGCTCAGGCCAGTATCGCCCAAGGCTGCTTGGACAGAGTGCGGCCTATCCCCAGCATCTGATGCGGTGGGTCTGGGGTGAACTCTGAATAAGCTTATCTAACAATTCCCCAGTGATGCTGACATGCTTGACTTGGGGCCGCACTTTAAGAACCACTGTTCTAGGCCCTGAGATGAGAACGAATTTGATGTGTTCGAGGAAGGGAAAGAATGAGAGAAATGAGTGAATGAATGAATGAGATCCTGGCTTCACAGACATACCCACAGTATGTCCAGGGTCTGTTGGAGCAGGGCACCTTCCCTGTGGCTAGCCCCCATCCTGCCCCGTGCCCAGCCTCTGCCCTTCTCTCCAGCCACTTCCCACACCCCCACCAAGAAGCCCCTCCACAGCTCCCCTCACCTTCTTTCCAGGAACACCAGGCTCACCCTGAGGGGAGACAGTAGGGGTGCAAAAGAGAGAGAGGTCACAGTCATCGGAGCTGCCGGCTCCTTTGGAAAAGTGACCCCATGACCCCAGCCCAGCACAGCCCAGAGACCCTGGCTCCTCAGAGTGCAGCACATGGGTAGTGGGTCTTGGACTCCACTCCAACCTGGTCCCTCCCAAGCTGAATGAACCTGGGCAAGTCACTGCTCTTTAAAGTGGGGATATGATGCCCCCAACCTCAGAGGGTCCCTGCGAGATTGGACAGGATCCACTGAAAGCCCCTGGCTTGCAGCAGGTACTCACTAATTGGAGCTCCTTTCCCCCCTTTCCTCCTGCTCAGGCTGGGGGCTCCGGCTCCTTCAGGGAGGACCAGAGCCTGCCTTCCCATCCCAGCAGGCACTGCTCAAGGAGGGAAGAAAGCTGATACTTGCCGAGGGCTTTAAAAGCTAATGTGTTTTATTATTCGATCCCGACAACCTGGTGTGATGGTAAGATAGGAAACGTTTATCATGTCCTCATTTAACAGGTGAGTACACTGAGGCCCAGAGAGATGAAGTAACCTGACCAAGTCACAGAACTTGGTCTCTTAACCCTGCTGCCTGGGCTTCAAGGGACGGGGCACGAGGAGCACTCACCTTGGGCCCTGGCGGTCCCTTCGGGCCCTGAAACAAAAGAAGGTATTAAAGGTGATACTGGAGGTTGCTCCTGTCTGTCCTTATCATTCACATTTTACAAAGGGTGACACCAAGTCCCAGGGAGGAGGAGGCAGGGCTGGTGCTGGAACTGGCCTGTTCTAGGCCTGACTCCTCGTGTCTTAGACAGCTTCTCATCAGATATCAAGCAGTGACATGTGGACTGCAGGCTCCCTCCCAGGTGTGAGGATTGTGAGAATTCTGCTGGGGCTGAGGGCCTGTCCTGTCCCATTCCACTGCTGGCGGAGGCGAGAGCTCAGGTGTGCGCACATGTGCAGCCACATGCATGACCCCAGGTGTGTGTGTGTGTGGGAGAGAGGCTTCTGGGCCTGGACCATGGTCCTGCCAGCCCAAGCCTCTGAAATGCTCTGGGTACTGACCGTCTCGCCGTCTTTTCCAGCCTCTCCTTTGGGGCCCTGAGAACACATAGAGGAGAGAGATGAGGGGATGCAGGGACCCCACAGTTACCTGAGTCCACAGCTCCGGCCTAGCCCTGGGCTGGGCTCTGAGCACATGCACTCATTTCATCCTTGCCAAACCCTGAAAAGTGGGTGTCATTGTACCCACTTCACAGATGAGAAAGCTGAGGCTCAGGGAGTTACGTGCCCAATGGGAAAAAGAATGGATGAACCAATCGAATAGCTGCTCTGAGAGGGTACCCAGGTGGCAGTTTGGGGGACGTGAAGGACAGGTTGGAGTCCCTGGGTTAGGGAAAAAAGTAGTTAGGACCATGGGAGGAGGATGACTGACTGAGGCTAACTAGTTAACTAGTTAGTACTGGGAGTGGTGGGGAGTGGGGAGAGAGAGAAA